TAATATATTTTTTAATTATAAATTAATATACAAAAAATTATTATAATCACTTAATTTATTAAAGGTAAAAAAACAAAACTGAAATTTATTAGATAATTATTAATTAAAAAATGTGACCACAAATTAAAGAATTAAGATGGATAAATTTGTCAATAAAATTAAAAAATTCTAATTCGCTAGTGGTTTGGTATAAAAAGTTACATAAACTAGCTTTTTCAATCCACTAGCGATTTGGACCTTAACCGTTATCCGTTAGTCTCAAACCGCTAAATAAAAATTTTACCAAACACTTTAGTTGTAGTGGTTTCAAAATATATAAATTTACCAAACATCTATATTTAGCAGTTTAGGTAAAACTGCTAACCGCTACCCTAAAACCACTATACCAAACGGGGCCTAAAACAGATCAGTCTAGCTCATCACATAAATTTCCTTGAACAACAAGATTCAAGATTAAGAATATATACAAATTACACAAAAAATTAGTATTGTACATGTATAGAGTTTCTTCTAGTGTCTTATTATAAATTTGAGTTGCAACCTGCAAGTACCAAATATATTTTTTTAAAAAAATCCAGCTAATTTGTTTTCGCGAACCAATCCAAAGATCAACTCAAATCGTGATTGATTGATGAGAAATGGAGTAATGCCGTGCCACTCTTGCAATTACTTTACTGAACATATGTACGTCTACTAGACGCCGCTTAGGCCCCGTTGAAGTTATTGTCTTTGAGGTCGTTTGCCCCCGGCATACAATATATGAACATTAACATTGATCCCTGAACTACACGATATTTAGGCTATTGGCCCAAAATTGAAAAGAATAAGCTGTTGGAAAGATTTCAGCCTATTGGGTCCAGCGTGGGCTATTGTTGGGTGGTTAAAATCTATTTTGTTTCTTTTATTTTAATAAAAAGTTTTTTTAATTTATTTACTTAACATTAATATTAAAATTAATAATAATTTTATATATTTTTATTATTTTAAAAATATATAAAATATTAATTAAGATAAATATTAAATATATTAAGTATATTTTATATATTTTTGAGATATTAAAAAACTAAAAAACTTATAGAT